CGGTGTCTTATTTTGCGCACTGCGCAGTCGGTACTGAACAGACGTTCCTTGCGTGATCGAAGGTCACATCAGACCCAGACAGCCTCTCATCAGTGCGTGGCCACGCCGCCGCTGCCAAGCCTTGATGGCGACCCTGAACGTTTATCGGCTGGTGGCACTAACGCGGATATCCCTGCCATTCATTTCCCCTTGCCAATTTCCTGCATCGTATGATCACATTTCCTGCGACTGTGATTTGTCACCTTCCTGTGGCTATGAGCCAGGCTGTCTGGCAGTGTCCTGTCTGATCCCGCTCAGTCTAGTTTCCGCCTGTCTGGTACTGGTTCTGTTCGGCACCATTATGTCTGGTCTGATCAGGTCTGGTTCTTCTTGTCTGGCGCTGTCCGGTCTGCCTGTCACCTTGATGTTACTCTCTCCTTGGCATCGGGGTAGGGTTAAATCTCCTCGTGGTTCGCGTGCTCAAGACGCCAGGTGCTGGCTGCCTCGTGACAGCTGGCGACCGGCCTGGTCAGCGGAGGTCCCTGGAATCTCCAGCTGCTAGCCGCACTACCCTCCCCCTCCACCCCCGCCTGAACCCCCCCCCCTCCCCGTCTGAACCCCCCCCCCCCCTCGACCCGCGCCTGGTCGGGATCGGCGGCGACGGCAGCGGCTGTTAGTGCTGGTGACCCACGTGACCTCGGGTTATCGGGTCAAACAGGCCTCCACTGCCGGCATTGAGAAACGATCGATGTGGGGCTGCTGTTCCTAAGCTGGTTGACCTCGACGAACCCCCATCGCTGTCGCTATCAACAGAGCTGACGGAAGAGGTCAGCTTATAAATCCAGAGGTCATCCCAGAGGGGAGGTGGGAGCCCTCGCCGAAAGCGCTGCAGAGTTCATCGCTGGTGCAGGGCTCCAAGCTTACATGCCATCAGTTCAACCCACAGGACACGCAGTGAGCATGTATCAGACAGGCATACCGGTCAGGTGACGTGTATCCAAAGTGTGCAGGCACGGTATGGATCTGCCAAACCCATCATGTGAGCGTGTATTGACAGACGTCAATGGGGCGAACACTAGATTGACTGTGACAGAGGCTCGGCAGAAGACCGGTTTGCACGTCGTGTGGTGGTGATACCGGTCAGTTTGCACGGAAAAGGAGCGTCGACCTTCGCGGGACCGTCTGCCGGTGACCGCGTGACTATGGCGCTAGTGACGATGGCTATAGGTGACATGGTGGCTCATGAAGGACGAAGATGAGCAGCTGCTGATGACGTGGGCGGCAACCAGCTGTCAATCCAGCAACTGCGGTTACAGGTTCAGGCCAGCCACTGACCAGCTGCGGAGGATAGCCTCAGAGCAGCTGTGACTGACCGGTGGCCAGCTACGGCTAACCAGCTCGGCAGCTGTGACTGACAAATAACCAGCTGCGGCTGAGATTGAAACGATAGTTCAGACGAGACCTGCGGTAGGTGTAGTATTAATCTCATCCCTGCCGAGCCCACCTGCCTCCGACAATAGGCGTGTCTTCAGGCAGGTGAAGCTCAGAAAACCCGTTCGGCAGGTGGCTGTTTTCTCGAGGGCAGGTTTTATGACTGGAACTGGGTTCTCCACTTGTCTCGTATGCGTCTCGTGTAGCTCTGTAAGTGGAAAGTGGAGCTCTATCCGGGACTCCGACTGAGATGATGTATCTGATAATGTTTAGATTCGGAGTGGTGGCCTCCACTCTCGCCTGGAAACCATGATGGATTGTCGGAAGCCAGGGTCGGAGCGTGTGTGTTTGGGGCACACGTGGAGGCGCTCCTATGACCTCCATGGGCTTAAGTCTTTTCCGTTCGATGCAAATTATGATTCGACTTCATTCTATTGTAAAGCTTTCATACACGAGAATGCAGCTTTTGCAGGTATGGCTGCTAACTAGTTGACGCGTTCTTGATGCTTGCCGTCCTGAAAATTAATGGCATACGCGTTTCCTCCACGGTTAATTCATAATAAACACGATCATCATGTTTATCCAAACGGTCACGCACTGCAGCTGTTCTCCTAAGCTTAACTCTTGCAAATAAACGCATCTGCCTTCAGTAAGCTCGGTTAATCGCAGGATTTCTGTCTTCAGCTTGTGCAAGGTTGCAACAAATCTCGCCACCCCCATCATTCTTCGTTGGCGCTCGTGCTCCAAGCTGGCGAACATCTGCTCGCGATCATCGCGACAGATGACCTGCGCAGTGCGCAGCGCGTCTTTGTGCGTGCGGATCGCTTCGCCAGCCGGTGGATCTCTCGGGAGCCTGGCACGCGCCCATAAGTGCGCAACAAATCGCGCAACCAGTCGTGTGCGCAGTTGGCGTTACCCGCAACTGATCCACGCTCTGTGAGCGCATCGTGCCGCAGTGATTTATTTTACTGGATTTCAGCTCCGTTGGCATTATTCACGCCTGCATTCGCCCGCCTGCAGTTGAATGGTTATTTTGCGGAAATACGCAAATGAGACGGCTCTGTTCGCAAAATTCAATGCAGCGCGCGGAGCAGGCAATATCTCAACGATGCCGAATCCCAACCGTTTAGGACAAACAGTTTTGCTGCATAAAACTCGCGGGCGGCATGGAGATGCGACTCTTCCTCACTTTTTTGTTTTATTTTACATACATAGATCAGCAATGCAGATTTACTACAGAGGTGTTTCTTAAGAATGGGTTGGTGTGTTATCGCCTCTGATTTGGTTCTAAACGACTTTCATGCTCGTCAGATACATATCAGCTTTGCGTTTAACCTGTCATAAACTCGTAGCAAACACAATAGGCTATGTGGCGGTAAAATGCAGTATCGAGTCGTACAGTCGTACACCGTGTGATAGTGCGTTATAAAACCCTGCTGCATCGACCATGAATCACAAATAAGTACCCAATACTGTGAGAGGGAAATTGACCAACGAAACTGAAGCGAGAGATCAGGTCATATTGGATGGTCCGAGTGAACTACAGCTTTCATGCACGCAGGACCCGAATAACGGCGCTTGTAAGACAATCCGCCCGAGCATTGAAGAGCGATTTTGTTACGTCTTCTATCACCCACACCACAATCACGTTTTTAATTATCGTATTTTTATCCGTTCCCGAATCATTAGCCTTTGAAGTCGAATTTTATGCCGATCTTTTTCAACGTTAGATATATTGACATTTAGTGATATACATGCAAAATTGCAAACAACTGAGGATCGTTTATTTTTTGTTATTCATCATTATTTTCACGTATGATTTACTCAGTGAAATAACGTGCATGAGAGGTGCGGGCTGCATGTTTTAGGAACGCTTTAATCATGGACGGATTTGCCTGGACTCGCGTGTGGCACGAGTGGCTGACCTTTTCTGTGGGACGACCACTTCACTCACGTTATAGAGCGTGTCTCATAGTCGGGCTCTGAAATATGAATATCAAAGGCCTGATCCGCCGCGGGCTGCTTGATGAACCAGCGCCATGCAGACTGCAGAGTTCATTGCGATATATCATTCAACATCAAACATTATGATCTCCACAAAGGTTCGCAATGCTCCAGAAAATTTGAATTTTAACTGCGGATTTGTTTGCTCTGGTCATCATTTCACAATAAAATGCGCTTCATATATCATTGTGTAGCCTCTTTGGCCGTCGACCTCAGCTGTGACGGTTTGACAAAACCACCATACCGTTTTTCAATGGCTCGGCCAAACAGTTGTCGGAAAATCTGCAGGCTCACTGCACTGGAACGACGCGATTCGTTCAGACGGAGTGAGGTCGTCAGTCGATCCACAAATCGCCGTCATTTCTCATGGACACGGCTGTTGCAGGAGCGTCAAATAGGCTCTCATTTGCCAGGTCATGACTGGAATGTGTGGCGTTGTTATGATTCGAGACGGACTTACGCGGCGGAAATGGAGATGACACGCCAATCTCATCCGATTTATCTTCGACTCAGATTCGAGTGTATGTCTGGTTGCCTGCCGTTCATTGTGGCACCAACTGCTGAGACGTTTCTCATATAACAATGACGGAACCACACAACTTCAGGAGTACGTGCGTCGTAATCACTCCTCGCTTATCACGCCGGCGCTTTTGTGAGCTTAGCCACACGATAACGTGACCCGAATCCATTCAGCTATCCTGCCGGCGCTGTGGAGGGGCGCAATTCCAGCGCCTTGTGGACCCGACGGGTCGCTGGTTGTTGCACAGTGACTTGCTACGGCAAGTCATGAACGATTTATCATTGCATGCAACCCATGCACTTGGTGACAGGATTAGAGAGGTATGATTGTTATAGAGAGGCATGAATTCACGGTCAAGGACTGATAGAGTGTGATTATGAGCTAGACAGCTCGTTTTGATGAATTATATCTTTTCATATAGGTGTGGTGTGCTTCTAGTGTTGTATCCATGCGACTGTGCGGTGAAACAAAGCTTGTTCATAAATAAGTATGAGCAAAGTCCCGTTGTCTCCACACTTGACAAAGCTGGTCGATTCTAGACAAACATCGTCCCTTGTGTCGCGCGAGTTGAACGACCCTGACTTCTGACACGTTCAGGTGTCCGTGCTGTGTGGTTCAGGGGCCCTCCGCTGGCACGTGCTGGGCCGAGCCGATACCCGTAATGATTGGCCGCAAGTCGGCCTCATGCACGTTAGCGCTGACCTTAAGTCCATTGTTTCTGGGTGCATTGTTTGTTAGCAGCACGCCCTGATGCATAAACTGCCTTCATTGGAAGTGGAGGAGTCGGTAAAAACGCTGGGATTCAGCCAAACGGGAAGGCTGTTTCCTTTCGCAGTCTTTGAAGTCATTCACCTAGCAGAGTTTTATGGTTGTTCTTTGACTATCAAATGATGAATCCAGCTTTGTTTGTCGTCATGTTAAGTTTGTGAAGTGAACCTCAATGGGTAATAAAATCGATTCTATTGAAAGAGACAATAAAATCGATTGTATTAGAAAAGACAATGATCGGCACCAACGTGCTCGTCAGCTAGTGCACCAATAACAAACCTCTCTTTCTTTCTTGCAGAACTACTGAAGACCACCAAGTCAGCAGACTCGTAATCTTCGGCTGTTCGTGGACTCCACCCCTTATCCGGGACGGGTGAATCCCGTACCCTTCTTCAACCACATCTCTCCACTGTGGACAAACCTCACCCAGCCGAGTCCACGGATCCCCAATGAAGGCCTCCAAGAGTCGGAGCGAGGCGAGCCTGGCGCCAGCGCCGGCACAGTACGCCTCCACGCCACACCTCTTCGTCTTCCAGAGTAACGACGACGCGGCGGTGCTGCGTAAACCGGAGCCGATCTACCAGTCGGCGGCTGACATCAGGGCCGGGCGGCGCCTCTCGGCCGCGCAGACCATCTCGGAGAAGTACGACTCGTATCACAGTCTGGCCAGAGATGATGAGCCGCTAGCTGTTGATGAGGCGGACGTGGCGCAGATCGAGGCCTTCTTCGCAGGACATAAGACGCAGGTGGGTGGTGCTCAGTTTTGTGGTTTGATGCTCGGTTGTGGCTTCGGGATGCAAGAAAGATGAAAAAGGATATTTTTATCGTCATTAGTTTTTGGCGTGGTGATGATTCCCCAAGTCAGGTAATGTTGGAAGCTATATAGCACTAAATTTGTTCTAAAAAGTCAGCTTTGCATCCTAGATAAAAAGAGTTGAGCTCTAACAAGTGCACCTCTGATTTCTACCAAGACCGTAAGCTACCCAATCAGCACACGTATGTGATGACTGCGTTGATTAACGAACAAAAGTAGTCAATCGTTATTTATCGAAAGACTTCGTTATTTTTTTCTCAATTGGTAGACGACCATCTTGCGGACGTATCCGCGCATCTGATAAAACTAAAACGACTGGTCCCGGGTCCTGTATTTAGAACCGGTATTTTGATTTGCGATTGACATTATTGTAAAAATGCATTTCCCTTGCCCTTGAAAATGGATCACAATGCGGGCTTTCACTGAAAATGGGCTGTTATCACGACCACTCCGATCACAACAGCCGCGCTGCACCCTGAAGTTCGGAGTGACATTTAGCAGCCTGCTATCTTGTGAGAATGCAACTGCATTTGGCAGGGAAAACGCCCCTAGCGTATACGATAGGCATTCTTTGTGCAGGCCAGAAACGGGTTTACTGCTGTCGATGATTCAGATAACTCTAAAAGGTTTGCATGCTGTAGCTATTTGAGTTGAGGAAATTTTCGCGGCATCTGGGTATCAATGAACGAGGATCTAGATGACGGTATGTTTCCTTTATTTTTGGCTGTGCGTAGGCGCATACAAATGCCATTTCATGGACATCATGATATATCTTTGGTACGGTTGGCGTGGGACATATTTCCTTGGCTTGTCTGGGGATCAAATTAGATTCGATCTCAAGGATCTGATATATCAATTCAGTCGGTCTAGTTTATATCGCTGTTTTTTTAAAGCTCAGTTAGTGAGACTGATCAATGGGTATGGCGAACAATTCGACGTCGATAAAGATATCTACATAATATCTTGTCCGTTACAGTTACCTACACATGACTTTCTCGCAACGCACGACACCTATGTGCATCTACATAGACACTGAGTCTGCTGACTCAGAAACCGCAAGTTAGCCCATGTATCCGCGAAGTGCCCTGCAAAAGCGTTGTCCAAATAAACACAATTGCCGGAGCCCGGGCTCCCCATCGGCCACCCTTCCTCCGTCGGCCTCCTCTTACAAATCAACTTGACCCACATGTCTGGTTTGTCCCCCAGCTGGGTACCCTAGCCTGGTCAAGCATACATTACTGGGCATCATTTCCATGAATGACTGTGGCCTTTCGAGCATGGTCGGCACGCTGTGAGCGTGACTGACCAGTGACTTCCAGTGCTGCTCGGCTCTCCAATATGACCGATGGGTCGGCTCGATCTCCGCCGCACAGTGGCCTGAATGGCCTGATTCCAGGGCTGCGGAGTCGACGGATTTTCGGCGACTCCGACTCCGACTCCGACTCCGACTCCGGGCAGAATTGTCGACTCCGACCGACTCCAACTCCCGACTCCGACTCCGCAGACCTAGCAGGGCTGCGGAATCGACAGATTTTCGGTGACTCCGACTCCGACTCCGGCTCGGGTTTCTAAAATCGACTCCGACTCCGACTCCGACTCCGTTCACAACTGTCGACTCCGACCGACTCCGACTCCGACTCCGACTCCGACTCCGCAGCCCTGCCTGATTCGATGGGAAGGACAGTCGCGGGTGCGGCCACTCAAAGTCCAAGACGCCAGTGGCCTTGTCTTGTCCGGTCCGCTGGCCAAGCGTGCAGCTGCCGACGGTAGCCGCACGGCGGGGGACCCTGACCAGTGCTGGAGCGCCGCTGGAACGCATGGGAGTCATGGGTGGAAACTGAAACTGGACTGTGCTGGATATAAGCTAGAGTCAACAGGACGGAGACGTTATAGGGTGAATAATTCCGCTACATGGCGAATGCATAAGCGATCCTGAAGAAATCCCTCTCTCGTGCATTAGTCTAGGTTATCTTCGGGGAAAACCCAACCAATGCATGCAGCATCGCTTTGGTATTCCGGGTAGTCTCACCTACTACAATTACAACTGTACCATATAATTACACTAGCCACGAGTCCAGTCGAGATCTAACCGGATTGGGGCCGTTGGCCTACCGCGGCGCATACGGGAGGCCCTCAGCTCCGTAACTGGGCCGACTGAGGACCCCTGCCGAGCTGGGCGCAGCGCTGGGAAGGATGTGAGTTTTTGTGGCACGGCAGGGGTGGTCGGACAACGGCAAACACTCGCCACGCAGTGATGGCGCAGTTTTGGGTGTTTGGTCAACGCTCAAAAGACCGGAGAGATGCTACATTAAAACGGGATCCTTTTCACTTTTGTGACGATGCCAGACGTCGGAGTAAAAGGCGGTGAGCGCTATTTTCTGGAAAGGAGAACGAATTCGGTGCACTTTGGACTGGTGAACGGCTGATGAGAAACTCAGGTTCGAAGTTCCGGTTAGCAGTAAAAGCTCAGCTCAATTTAGCCAGGAACGTCATTTCGGAACCACTGCCTGGTTGAAGCCGGTACCACGGTTGAATGTGATGTGATTGAGAGATGCCATCACGTGGCTGCATGCGAGAAATATCACCCCAAGTCACATGTGACTGAAACTAAAATTTTGCCCATGCACCATGCAGAGTCGACGGGAATTCACATCACGCGTATTCCCAATGCATGACTCATTCTTGCGGAGACAGCCTGTTGACGCTTGCCGCTCAGTCCTGGCTGTATCTCGGAGAAACCATTTCATCACCGAGTTGAACGATCGCGTCGACACGTGATATAAACACTGGAACGATGCTGTACCACATTGCCAGACTGACGTGGCTCGAAGTGACCGAGCTTTCCAGTTCCACGCGCCGCGTGAGGTCGCCGGGTCAGGTCGTGGATAAAGGAGCGCGTGCGCATAGCGGAATCTTGTGTGCAATGACGCGTGTTTACTTTTTAGGTTGCCGTCTTCGCTGAAATGTCGCCAGTCCACCGTCCAGCGAGGGGTGGTATCGATTTGGCTATACGTTGACGGGTGGATAATGCCTGGCATAAATATGATTGATGCCTTCGGGAGTTAGTGCGCGGGAAAATGTAATAAATGGGCTTTTTAGGGAGTAATGTCTTTTTCAGAAACTATAGCTCCTCTGTTATAATAAGACGTCTCAAATTTCATCAACGAAATACAAAATATCAAAAATTATATGAATGAAAGGTCTAACACTACAGTATTTATTTGCGATAATTAATGAAATGTCCGCATATACCTACGGTAATCACGAACAATCACCAGCCGACCCTCTATCCGGAGTCGTCTCCCGTCGAGTGGGCCAAACAGTCAGCCGCCATGGGTCAGCCTCTGGTCGGTCCGATCTGTAAGCAGAAGCTGTTGACTGTATACCAGCCAGGATAACGACGAAACGACACACGTCATACCACTCACGACCTCACGGTACCAACCTAAACAAGCCCTGGGCTCGGCATGCGGTTCATGCACGCTGCACGGTGCACCAGGCCTGCACAGTCGGGTGCACGAACTCCCACGGCCAGGCTGGCTCTCTTTGCCGTCGGCACCGACTGTCAGACTTTCCGGGTGGCAGTGACCGCTGCCGTGCAGGGCGAAATGAACCGCCACTCATCGATCATTCCGTAAAGCCAATTGTGGAGTGGATAAGCGGTGTTTGAGTGCCATGAACGGCCGTGTTGGTGGCCTTATTGCTCATTGTGGGAGTTGGTTGGTGTTATTGGACGTTATTATATAAGTGCTCCATGAAAGCGGAGTGGGATTATGTACACGACTAACACGCATTATGCGGCATTACATGCGTCAATGTCCCGTAGAGGAAGGATCAGCGACCAACGAAACGTCAGACTGTCACTTATCTTTTGCTTAGCCTTCGAACTATCAACTTATGTGCTCTGGCAGCTTTCGCAGTTTGACAACCTCTGTCAACTGTAAATTAAGACTTATATTTACCACTCCTCTTTTGCTCGCTCCCTTCTCTAGTCATCTTCGCAGCTCTCCCCTCTTTACCAATCTGACCCCCTCTCTCTCTGCCCCACAGGTAATCGTTTGCCGAGCGCTGGCCAACATGTACCTCAGCTCCGAGTCTAACTCGTGGGAGCTCAAATACACCGGCATCCCTGCACTCGTAGTCGACTCTGGCAACACACGCAGCCGAGGACGACGGCAGGTTCAGCTCGTCCTCGCCGAGAAGGGCACCAGCTTCATGCTATGGCGTGACCTGGTGGACTCCATGTCCTCCTACTCATCTCCTGACCCCAGTTTCCACACGATGCACCTCTCCACCGATCGTCGACAGCGGGTTGGACTGAGCTTCGATGATGTGGAAGCCGCCAGAGCGTTTCAGACGCAGCTGACAGCCATCTGCGCCGAAGGAGACACGACTGCGACGACTCCGGCGCAGCGGAAACGGAGGAAGAAGGAGGGGCGGCCGGCGCGGCCACGTAAGGAGGACATCTCGCAGCCCTGCTGCTTCCAGCACGTGAACAGCGTGACTCTGAGGGACATGGATCGGTTCTATACGCTGCAGAGCCTCATCGGCAGCAGGGTCACGTGATCGGACACCCTCAGCGACCACCGGGTCACATGAATGGACCTGCACATCAGCAGTCCAGTCACGTGATTGCCGGAATTCATCAACGTCGGGTCATGTGATTCTAACTCGTGCCGGCAGCCCCGTCACGTGCTCACCGGGCCTCATCGTTTTCCGAGCCACGTGACTGAATATCTCGCATGGACACCGTGTCACGTGACCCTGGCCGGGTCATGTTCGGCCGTGCTGATGGCTGCTTTCCCCGGCGTGGCAGTGACCTGTGCGGTGTCTCCGGCCGGAACTGTGCTAGCCCGCGCCGGTGGCCCCCGGCACCGGGATGAGATTCATTTGTATTCAGCGTGCGAGTGTGTCTTGTCAGCACAAAGATCGCATAGGCGGTGGTCTTCGAGCTGCAAAGTGCCGAAAGAGGAATGGGTATGGGGCAGACGCTTGCACAAACAGGGTGATTTGGTGGGCGCCGCTGAAGAACAAAAGGCGAGCATTAAGTGTGTGTTTTATCGAGAATGGTGTGCGCAACAGCTGCTGTGACGTTTGAATGTGACGTGAGCTTGTGACGCGAGCCGTCACACTAGGAATCACACCAGGCAGCGTCACATAACGTGTGACTCTGTTTTGGTGACGACTCCGGCGCCTGATTTGCGATACAGCAGCGTAAAAAGTGAGCGTGCGATCCAATCTGATGTGTGTGATACCGTGTTTAAACCCGTGACAACGAGTCAGCGTGTGTGCTGTCGTGAGACCTTCGCGACTTTTGGTGTGTCATTCTCATTACCTGTACGACGCTGTGGTTCAAGCACGTATCAATCGTTGACCTTGGCCTGACCTGAGAGTTCTTATGTCCGAGTGGGTTGTGATCGCTCTCGGATGACCCCGAGGCGTGACCTTGTGACCTTTCGGTTCTTTGACGGGCCCGCTGGACACCGGCCTGATAAATGACCCTCACGACTGAACGGCCATTGTGCGACCGGCCTGGCTGCGTTCAAAGTCGCACCAGCCGGGTGAATGACCTCCCGGCCCGGTCCAGCTTGTGAGGGTGTGGGAAAGAAGTGAAATGTGTACTAGTCAAACAGCTGCTGGTGACCATCGGGTGGCTAAGGGTCGCAGCCGCAGCGAGGCAGATGCGAGGGTCGCCTGTGCTGAATATTCATAACCATGGTTGTTTATTGATACAGCTGTTTGCGGAAAACACAGTGTACGTTTGTGAATCGTTACATGCCACCAAGCTGGAGAATAAAGCCAGTGACAGTATGGAAAATATTTTCTTATTGGGGCTTGTGTTATTTAAAAAACGCCGTACTTAAGTGCCCACAATCCACATAGTTCTCAAGCGTATGGTTGCGTATTTTTTTCAACTGGGTGACTCGTACTTTGTAGTGAATATGCTATGGTCCATGGACGAGCTAGAGCTTCAAAAATAAGTCACCACATCATTTAGCTCATTCACTACATACACCCAAGCAGAGAGCCTATCAAAAAGTTGACTCGTCGCAGACAGTCACGGCGAAGCACGCTTTGCGATTTATTCAGCACACTACCTCCATGTGGGGCTTGTTTGAATAAACGAAACGTCATTGGTATGCTGAGGACCGTTAGTCGCGCTGGCAGACAAGCCTGGCGACGAGACCCATGCTGGGACACACTAGTCGGTCATCCAGCTTTCGAGGGTTCAGGATAGGACGGGACTGTTGGGAGACGGGAAAATGTCACCGGAAATGCGTAATTTCTGACCTAGCATATCGCGGTTATCATTATGAGCAGAAGTAGACAGCTCTGTCAAAGTGCCTGTCCACAACTCCCATCCATGCCTTTATATGTGTCGGTCGGTAAGCACATTCGTGGCGCATTACACCTAGTTTAGCATCCCGAATGATGATTTAGCATGTCCATTTCTAGTTATCAAAAAGTATATTATATTTATTGGAAAGTGTGATGAGTGGGCTGCAAAGACCAAGCACACGAGTATCGCAAACACATCGCTCGAGCCCTAATATCATGGGCAAGAGAAGATGGCAGCACCACTGCCTTTGATAGATGACGCGGAGATCTGAGACTGAGAGGTATGTACTGCACTGCACACTACGATAACGACCTGACATCCAAAATTTGCTCTCCAGCATCCTCAGTAGGTACTCATGTAAATTTCGTTCTCAGATTTCTTTCATTCAGATTTATTCAGGGGAGGAGAAAAGTTCTGAGAGATTCTTGCTCGATGAACTCAGGCAGCACTTTGGCACGGTCAAGCACAACCGCTGAGCACCTACCTGCCCCGTGTGGTAGCACGGCATTCGCAGCAACTATGAGATAATAAGAGATAAATTTATTAACATTACTCAGACGAAACACCACACAGAAAACTGCACCAGAGATATGTGTTGATGTGATCGATTCGATATGAATGATAACCAATAGGTACACATGCTTTCAACTCACTTCTAGCACAGGTTGAAGGCAATATGCCAACATCTAACTATTGATCATAAGGCAGGAGACCTATTATAAATATATCTACGAGCAATTAGCCACCTAATAAGAGACAAAATTGGGATATCAGTGCTTGAGTTCAAGGGCAGATACGTCAACTCCCATTCAGCATGGCACAACATGACTGAAAATGTTAGGCATATGCCTTGAAAACGATCATTAGGCACTAGGCAGTAATAGGCCAAACAAAACTTTTAATCAACGTGCCCGGAGATGGAAAATCTAACATTATAGTTCGAATTGTATACTTAATCCCGGTACTTTTGTTTAAATAGACGGTCGCAGACTTCAAAGGAGCAAGCACATCAAGCAGACATACTTGTCTTATTATCTTACAATATCGTTGAGATAAATTCTCTAATGAGAGTGACATTATCGCCAGGTTAATGTAGTGTACCTTTCATTCATCCCCGAGATCCTGGAAACCCCGCGCTGTCACCAACTGCTGGAAATTCGGGCCGTGATCCACTTGTAACAAACTGAGCTCCAGGCGGCGCTTTATGGGCGTCTTTTCATATTACCGTCTGCAGGTCGACAGCGCCTGGGATATCTTTCACACCCTGACTGAAGTGATACAATTCCCAAAGTTCCCAAAATTCCCAAACGCGGACATCCAGATTTGCGATCCATCAGACCTTGCAGAATTAGTCAGTAGGATTACCCCCAGCCCTCCGGTTTCAACCAACATGATGACTTCGAATCCCTGACTTATGCATACCTTCCTAGCAACCATATCTCTCACAACATACGTCAATCAATTCTCACTCACACTCACTTCGTCTCCACTCATCCCTCACTCTTCTTTCACATCTTTCCTCACTCTCTTCATACGATCATCTTGAAGAGTGCCATGGAGAGCACCATACCCAGGAACAATACGAAGGCGATGCCGACTCCGACTCCTCCCAGTACAGCGGCGTGTTCCATCACAAACTCCTGTACACGCTGCTTACAGCCGGCCTGGTAAGAGTCATCTAGCGTGCACGATCCGGGTTCCACCGGTCCCGGGCAGCACGAGTCGGGCAGGGGGCTGACATGGCCCGTCCAACTGGCAGGCCCGGTTACACCGCAGCACTCCATCTGAGGAAGGGACGGGGGACGAGTCAAGTAAACGGAGGGAGGGCTAGGGGTCGGGTCACACTGAGACAATTCATTTGAGGGGAGAGAAAGAGACGGGTAACTGTCTGAGGGACGAAGACTTGGTTACTGGCCACGGAATCTCAGGAAGGAACGAGCCACAATGAAACAGATAAAACAAAAATGAAATAAAAAACAATGAAGCATCTGAGTGGAAGAGAAAATTAATGACGGTTTATAAATAAGGCCTCCACACTCCAAAGAGCTCATTGGAACGCTGAGTAGCCTCTTATATTTAATAACACGCAGTCTTTGGTCTTTCATTTTGCTATAAGACATTGTCATTGTATGTCGATACTTTAGTGCCCTGGTCGGTATCAAACCATTTAATCTTTTCCTCTCCAGGTTACCTGTGACTGAGCGGCGTCCCACGCATCCTTGGCCGCCTGGTTGGTCTCGTACTCGTCTTGCGAGGCCATCATCTGCGCCATGATGGTGTCCTTGACGCGATGTCTGAACACGTAGCTCACGATGCCGCCCACCAGCAGCACCACGAACAGCACTAGCAGGATGATGAAGTACTGAGAACGTGGACATCGGAACGGGACACAGCGGTCAATGTCAGTCTCGGTCTGAATTAACGATAATATACCTCTGTATACGGTATACGATATAGTGTACATAAAGGTTTGGATATGTGGATCGATCCTTACTAAGCGCTCCCCAAGTCACTCCACATGCTTCGTTCGACCTCTACCGTTTCATACTTAATTCTTTAACTTCTCCTCAGACTTTTCATTCGTCCCCATTCCACGCGTTCGCTGCTTTACCTTTCTAATTGTCCTTTCTTATCCTCCCCACCACCACCCATCTAGCCTCATGACCTTGCATGTCTCCTCTCCACCTCCACCCCGTTATCATTTCTTCTTACCGTAAAGAGCATGCATCGGACCTCCTTGATGGCCCCGAGGCAGCCGAGAAACGATATAAGAGTCACCACCACGCCGGTGGCCACGAAGATGTAGGCTGACGAAGCGTACAGATCGGTCCCCAGGAGCTGTTCGAACTCCGTCTTGTCAACCACCGTCCATATTCCAATGGCGAGCACTGCGACACCGCCCACCTGTCGAAGAGATAGAGGGGCAGTGAGTGATGGCAGAGTGGGGTGTGCCAGGGGGTGGAGAGACGAATTTTGGAGAGACGGGGCGAGCCAGTTCTTGTGCACTAACATCATAGATGGCACAGGCGGAGAGTTATGAAGGTAGACCGAGTGAAATGAAGGTAAGTCGAGCTTTCACTATTATAGTACTCGTGAACAGCCTGTGCAGAATAACTGCATTAATGACATAATTACATCGCATGGTTGATGACTGTTTGACATCTATTCACTTGGTTCACGTTTTAGCCATGGGAATCACTGGTGCCTGGTACACCAGGCGCATCGTCCGTGTGCCTGTGGTTGGGTGCAGGTGCTGCCACCTAGGTCGATCGCTCTGAACTAAAGCTTCCGTACCTGGTTCACAGGTAAGGTCCGTGTCGAGACCGACCTGCGGACTAGACCTTCATTCACTAAGAATTCAGTTGTCATGTGAACGTAAACAGATCCAATTTAGGTATGCAAGCTGGGCATTAGGCATGTAGTGTTTGTAACCTCCGTTGCTGGAGCCTCGTACAACCGTAGCAATGCTAGCGAATTTAACGAAGAGCAACGACGAAAACGGGTCAAACAGGGTAAGCGAGACCTTTTAAACTGATGCCCTCTTCTAATTTCAGATTCTAATCAATGCGATTTCAGCCCGAAGGACAGTTTCAATTTCATAAGCTACCCATCACCAACTAAAATATGCAAATAAGTCACTTGATTTTCCAAAGAACTTACCAGTATTAGGAAGTTGGAGAAGAACAGCAGGTATTTTACGCACTGGCCGCATCCCTCCATCTCTTGTCCTTTCCCCATGGCTGTGCTGTCAGATTACCTGGAAAAAATAACGATTGTTGTAAGCAAGTGTTTACAGTGACGGTAAATGTGCAAGGAATAGGAGTGCTGGGGTATAATTATGCAGGACAAAAATAAGGCAAAATTATGATTTCATGATTTCGTGGTTATAGATGCCGTGAGGAACGCAGACACTTCGTCAATTACGAAAAATGAATAGTCGGAACGGTTACCCAACTTATTGTTACTGAAATGACAATAAAGAATACAGTTGAGTTAATTACATCACCACAGACTGCGTGTCAATAAATAGTATCCCGTCTTAAAAGTGTGCCTACCTACTCTAACGCACAGCTATTCGAACTAATTGCTCCTCAGTAGACGATATTTTTTTTTGCTTTGATTGATTATCACACCCAAAATAAAACATTTTAATCGATTCGACATTTTTACATTATTTTTCATCCTTTCATCCGTAATTTTATCATCATAATTTTTCCATTATTATCGTCACTTCAGGAAGTAATTTTTTTGCAGGCAGACATGGGCGCGGGAACCGCGGGGGGGGGGGGCAGTGGGGGCAGCTTGCCCCCCTAACTTTAGGGCCGTGGGGGCGGTGCCCCAACAACTTTAAGACGGAATACCGCACTTTTTTTGCAATTGTTTTCTTTTTTGTTGAAAAAGCCAAGGGATGAAAAATAAGTGGCCTAAAACCGGCGAGAAAACTAAATTTGGGGGTACCCTAGGTTGATCTCTATCATGGTGTGCCCCCCAGTCTGAAAGTAGTTCCCGCGCCCCTGCAGGCAGATAAAAATCGTCTCACGGTTGTCTACGCGTGGTTATATCAATAGTTTTATGCTTGCTTGGTAAGTTGCGTGCCGGGCACCAGCACATTGCCTGATGGGCACCCGAACATACGGTCAGAGACGCAGGTGGGGAAGGGAGGGGAGGAGAGGGAGAGGCAGGGGAGGGGGCATCGCACGGGCGTGGTTCGGTCACATCCGTAATGACATGTCGCTCCTAATCCCATTACGGGACGCGTGCGGCGCAGCGGGGCGCTCCCGTGACCCCGGATCCGTGACAGGCGGGTCACGACAGAGCCTGTGCGCCGTGACACGAGCCGACAGAAGTCGTGATGGGAGCGACAATCGTGACTAGAGACGTGACAGAATCATCTGAGCCCTCATTTACGCGCTACTGATCAGTTTGCTTGCCTGAAGCTGATCATTCTGTGCCTTTAGCATGCTAAAAACGAACATTCATGAAATCAGTGGCGGCGCCACGAATTTTCGCCAGTGGGGGCAAGCTTGAGACTGACCCGACTGTTGTCTGATAACGCCGATCTGCAAAATCCATTAGCACCTTGTCCCTAGATGTTGTCATTCAAAATTATTTTGGTTTCAGGTTTCATGCATAGGCGTATTGAGTTTAACCATTAACCCTCGCGGGCCCGGAAGGGGGGCGTTTTTCGCCTCCCCCTGGCGAATATTTGCGATACCTCACTAACGCTTAGGGATAGCAAGACGAAACTTGCTGTACCTTATCCCCCATTAATTTGACATCTTTTGAAGCAAAAAAATTGGACCTATCCTCCTTGATAATGTCTCAGGGCCGATTTTTCTAGACTCCAGCACGGCAAACTTCGGCGTCACAGACGTGAACTTCAACCAGCTGCCAAAAATTGAGTTTTAGAGATAAAGACAAATTACGAGCACGGTTGTGTAGCATTTGACTTAGAAAAAAAAACTTAAGTGACTTTGGTGACCTGAGGTCGGAGGTCAGGGCAACGACCCCGAGCTGGGGCTTTAGTTTCTTTTTTCGCAAATAACTTCAACAAAAATGGTCCTGGAGCTACGGCAGTGGTACCTTCGCATTAGTCTTGTTCGAGACGCGTCGAATGACATATATATTGTTTGGAAAAGGTCAAGTATTATGTTGACCTCATGTGACCTCGAATGACATTTGGTTGATTTTTTACACATGGAAGGTCATTTGTGATGATTTCGTAGCCGCTGATCACGATTCTGTACCTCTGGCATCCATTTTGCTGTAAGCATTCATTTAGAGCATCAGTATGGCAAAACATCTCTTAATTACCTATTATGCCTGACTTGAATAGTGAAATAGCCTCTAGCAAGGATACGCTCTTGTGACTTCGACCTTGTAGCAGCCTTGTATCGTAAGCTAAAGCACAAATAGGGGTCCGCTAAGCTTGAAAACATCAAAACATCTCGCAATTTAGTATACAAGATATAAGAAAAAGTGCAAAGTTTGTGGTCAATTTTGAGCATGATCGTGACCTTGAATTTGAATGTTATGCACATCATCGGAATCCACGGATTCTCTTCTTTTGTTCAACACCCCTTTTAGCCGATTTTATGCACCATGCCGTCCTCTGGAACACGTACTTTGAGACCACTACATAAATGCCGGTTTTTGCCTTTGACCTTGAATTCTGACCTTGAAAACTGACCTTAGGTCAAAAAGTTTAGGTGCTTTAAAATCTTCACATATATACTTTTCGTTTGGTACCATTTTTGTTTCCGCAGCTGCCTTATTAACCGAGTTAAACAGGGGGGGGGGGGGAGGGCTACCCCGGGCTGCGGTGGTAAGGATTACCCCCGGGCCCGGCCGAAATAAAACTATAAAACTAGATTGCGAGACACAAACCTGTGAAAACGTTTGTTGTTCGTTGAGCTGTAAAATGGTGTGTTCCTCAAAACTATAGTCAGTACCTATTTCTCCTTTTCCCCGTAGTGCGTATGTATATATGTGCGATTCTCTCACATACGATCGATAAAGGTACGAGAATAAGCTCCATTAGGGCGACCCACATACAATTCCAGATAACCCGGGATATACATATCTATCACATTTTGTCATACCTCTCTGAGCTCAGTCTCAGTCTAAGGGTTCCCAAAAGAGGGTGATCTCTTCTCTGGCCGACTTTTGATAAACTGCTTCTCAACCTCCTCGAGATCAAGCTCGAGGGCAGCCTTTTGGTGATTGAAAATGAGTAGGAGAATGAGTGGGAGTAGGAGATATGCGACAGACGGTCCGAGAACGAACGTTCTGCTGACGCACTTGATACGAGGACCGTCAAAAACAGGCGTACAGTCGTGTACAGGTTGATGGTCCCCTACTCTTTATCCACCGGGTTCCTATGGCTCAGCATTGGCAGCAGCCGCCTGGTACCGGTAGGCTGTGCCGCATGACCCGAGAGTGAAGCGGCACAGCCTACCCACACTGTATGACACCGGCTCGGGTCGCCTGGTAGAGCGATTTGACCGGACGCTGGGTTACACCGGCTGGGGGGAGGGGGGGGGGGTAAGGGTCAGACCTGTCTATTTGGCTCGGCTCGGTGGATGAGGCGGGCTGGAGTGTGGTGTGGGGCGGGGGTGATGTGGGGAGGGAGTGAGCGGACCTGGGGCTGGGTGTGTGTGGTCACTTGTCGCATATAACCGATCGTAATCCACCCTCCAAAAATTCGCTTTAGAAATATTCACAAAACCCAGGGGTGTTCAAACACCCATCTCCCAAGTGGGGTGCAGAAGGACAGGTAAGTGGGGTGCGGAAGGACAATACGGTCTCCTCATGAATTGCAGCAAAGAAAGAAAACAGACCTGTCACCAAATAATCTTTCTGAAAAGTGGACTAATCGCATAGCCTCGGACACAGAAATAAACATCCAGCACGCGAAGCGTCTCGAACCGGGCCTCTCACTAGTCACTACCGGTCAGTTTGACAGTCTAGCACTCCTACGCTGAGCTACACCGGATGGTGGCCATGGCCGGGGCAAAGTCTGGCCGGGCGGGCGGGGGGGGGGGGGGGGGGGGGGGCGGGAGGTCGGCAGCAAAGTCAATGAATGTTTTTGCGGTTTCGGGTGCCGGTCGCTCTAGCTTGGTGGAATGATGAAGGACCATTGGCAAAACTCTCAACGTGGAGTCCCGGTTCGAGCCTCATCGGGGCTCCGTCTACTTTTCCGAGTTAGGATCTGGTTTGATTTTAGTGGTTGCGAGCCATTTATACGGTTTTATATCTACATGTCGATTGTCGATTGATTGATTGATTCATTCATTCGTTCATTTAATACATGTCGACATTTAGCATACGAACTGACATCCGGGACCAATCCGATCAATCTACCATTTTCATAAGCGTATTGCCTAAATATCATGCATATATGTGACACAAGACCTACGGTTGCCTCGATACCGTGCCAAATCACGTTTTGCACAATGCACAAGTAAATTATATTCGCTGGGTCTTCCGTGCATTGTGCTTAGCAAAAACAGGAATGCAATTGTCAAGCGACGCAAAATGTGCAATGCAGCAAGTGACCACACACACCCGCCCAGCCCCCATGGTCCACCAACACGCCCCACACCACTCGCCAGTCCACGCCAACCACCGAGACGAGCCCCTCCCCCCGCGCTGGTCTGACGCGACAGCTCAAGCTGGTCTACAAAGCGCTCCACCCGGCGACCCGAGCCGATGTCAAACAGCGTGGGTAGACTGTGCCGCTTCACTCTCGGGTCATGCGGCACAGCCTACCGGTACCAGGCGGCTGCTGCCAATGCTGAGCCATAGGAACCCGGTGGATAAAGAGTAGGGGACCATCAACCTGTACACGACTGTACTATTATAACCACCTATAATGAATGTTGCACGGGTCTTCTGTTCCCATACATCAGCCAAATTTTGTGGGGGCAAAAACATAGTCTTGCCCCCACGGCCTCCTGCCAGTGGGGGCAGCCTGCCCCCACTGCCCCCACGGTGGCGCCGCCCTTGCATGAAATACGATGAATAGGCTACGAAAAGGCATTTGAACTGAATATCAGAGGATGAGTTGCCATACAGAATAAAAGGACGATTTGATTGTCACACTGACTCTGAAGCCAGAAAATATAATACATTTATATGCCAGTTCCATCAAAGCGCATCGTTTAACTTTAAACATCGACAGACTTCAAATAAAGTAAAACTTAAAAATAAAATAAAAAAAATAAAAAGAAGATAGATGATGCCGTTGACCTGACA